CGTTTTAATTATGTACTGTCTATATGTAAAAGTCTGTTTCCCCCCTTCCTTTTGATTGTGAGCCGCCCTGAGTCCCCCCAGGAAAAAGGGCGGCATACAAATAAACACAAATTCAAATTCAAATTTGGCCTGCCAATTTTGGACTGAAAATCACTTGTGAAGGAAAGCACTTGCATGCAATGCTTATTATTAGTATCACTATCTAAATATGAGAGATGATGCTGGTTTCTGTCATAGAAACGTTTCAATGGAACTCTTCTTCATTGTGTACAATCCTTTTAGAATGGGCATATTTTTTTTAACCAAACAGGTACAACTTAATGCATCTAAATAGGACTTTCTTAAGGTTTTAAACCCACACACATACACAAAATAAATCACGCAGAGATGCAAGGATTCATAAACACAAGCTGGGTGAGCTGCAGGTTAGCCACCCTTGCTGTAGGCAAGAAACTCTCATCAATTTCTTTTTAAATGTTCCTTTCTATTTCTCTCTTTGCATATCTAAATATATATGGAATCTGTCAACTGCAATTAAGCAAAATTATTTTGTATTTTAATTGGGGGGATGAAATGTTTTCTTGTGGGGAGAGCTCACTGAGGGGGAGACCCATCACCATTGCATCTTTCAAAGCATAGTAAAGCATATGTTGCATCAGTTATATTGAGAAAAGTGCAGGGAGGAAGACTGTGAGATGGGAAAATCTCTTTTTTTTTTTTTACTGGTGAAAAAGATTGTTGTGTACCATAGGATATGGTTGCAGATTTTATGTGGCTTGTTGTAAACCCAGCAAGCTCTTGATGCTGTTCTGGGTGCATTTTACCTAGTCACTTTCTTATTCTTATTTTAGTTCATAAAATAAGATTAAAATAAGGTTCCAAGTAACACTCCCAGCTAAAGAAGACTCCGAGGCTAGTGATTCCTCAAAGTTCCATTTTCTTAGAGATGACATATTGGGACATCTGAGAAAACCCGAATCTGAGAGTTCTGGGTTTTTCTCACCCAAAAGAAAGTCAAAGATCCATCCCCTGCACCCACAAGTCCATCACATGGTCCAATCATTTCAATGTCCCAACTGGAGACGGCCCTTAGTAATTCCTATCCAGGTACAGGTTGAGTATCCTTGACTCCCATAGAAAAGAATGTTGTTATGTCTAATCCTCCACCAGCACCTTGCAATCTCCGCTCCTGTTTTCCCAGGCAGCCCTGAAGCTCCAGCAAAAAAGATAGCTTCCAGAACTGACAATATCCACTGTAGTTCAGAAGCTGCCTATTGTAATAAAAATTAAAACTTTAGAAACTTTTCATATACTTTCACTCAGTCTTGAATTCAGAAAGTAACCATAGTAATGAGTCATGACTGTCTTTCATTTGTAATCAAATGTTATTACTCAGATTTCTCCAGTTTAACCATTTGAAGTAGAATATGCTGTTGCTCTCATTTAAGCTTTCACACTGATAACCATACCTTCCAGAAGTATATAAATATTTTCATAGTAATACCAGAAACAGAAGGGAATTTACTAAGAAAATTGTAAGGATAATAATTACAAAATACCCTACTCCCTTTTTCTGTTCATGGAAGGAGAAAGTGACTCAGCCAATTCAAGTGTGTAGATCTTTTAATATTATACATTTAAAACATAAAGTGCTTGCATAGGAAGTGCTGGTGACTAATGCCAAATTACCCCTGGTGGTAGTAGTCATCTCTAATGGGTCTTTTTATATACAGACTATGGGTTTCCCCCCCTCTCCAATATATCAAGTGGTCTAGTAGATCCATATCAGAGGATCAGCCCATGGAAAAATGTCAAGATAAGCTTGGTGTTTTTTCAGTGCTACTGTACTGTATAGGTACACAAGTTATTAGGGATACTTTCAGCCCTAGAAAGACAAAATTAATTGGGCTTTTCTTTATCTGAGAAGATAAATCTAAGAAGTTTAATCATGGCTAATGACTTGCATCAAATTAATATACGCTACAAATATGCTAATACTTTTTTCATAGTAAAACTTGGAAATGATACTTATTTAAGAACACTGGGGATCTTTAACATCATCCTTAGCATTATGAACAGGCCAGTTTTCTCACATAGTAAGGGAATACTAGTATTGGTTTTAAATACATTTGTATATTCTGGTCCATTTATCAAATTGTGATATTTATTTTAATTTTAGGTTCTTGCCTCTCTCATTATTCGTCTTGCTCTGGCTGAATCCTTTTGTCTCAATTGTGGCATTCTTGCATTGGATGAGCCTACCACCAATCTTGACCGAGAAAATATTGAATCTCTTGCACATGCTTTGGTGGAGTAAGTATCCAAAGAATTTACTAGGAATTTTAAAAATATTTACTTATGTGGAACTAAAAATTACAGGGAGTCCTTGACTCAACCAGTCATTTAGCAATGGTTCAAAGTTATGATGAATCCTGAAAATGGGACTTATGATTTAGTTTCAAAGTTACAATGTCTGGGCTCAATTACAGTCGTAAATCAAGGACAACCTTTATTCCCATAATAAACAGTCTTCATCAGTCATCCTTCCTCAGGCATAAGTTTAAGCCTGTGAAACTTTACATGCATAATAAACAGTTAAGTAATTCAGGTAATTGTCTGCATATAAAATTTTAGCAGCAATAGATTCAGTTTCAGGTGAATCTATTCTATATTTATCTACCACTTTTTTGTTCCAAATTGGAAACTATGATGCTATCCTCTACCGCAGCATGAAGAACGGAAGTATTTCCTCTATGTTCAGCTAGCGCTCACATTTCACGTAATCGGACAACTACTCAGGCTAAGGCAAAAGCTCCAGTGCTTCGAAGATCATACGTGGAGTGGAACTAGGAAAATTACTCTTGGCTAATGTGATTTGGAAGTAAGCCCCCACCCAGCAAATGGAGGCCTTGTGGGTTGCATGCCACTCATTGTTTATTTAATAGAAAATTGGCTCTACCCCAGATTAAGGGATTACAGGGTCATAAAAAGGAAATTTATTGATCCAAAGACATCAACATGATGTAGAATTTACTATGGTATTCTAGCTTTTTTTAAACCATCAGGTTCCTATATTTAGAATTGCAATTCAGCCCTAAAAATTAATAATATAAAAGTAAGGGGAATAATTTTATGGCTAAAGAAATAAAGGGGTATGGGTAAAGCTTTTAATAAGTAGAAAGATCTTAGTTGTCTAACAGAAAGCACCTGTAAATAGTGTTTAGTTGATATTGTTCCTCAGAACTGGATAGATCCTGTTCTGAATTTTTACTTCTCTGACACCACTTCTAATAGGATCCAGACAAACCAGATACTGTCCGCTTCCAAGTAACATTCTCTCTTTTCCTTTACCTACTAATGGCCTCATCACAATCTGAGGTGCAATTTTCTCGAAGCTTCTCTCTCACCTAATTATAAAATTGAATACTGTGTTTCCCCTAAAATAGGGTCTTATATTACTTTTTGCTCCAATAGACGCACTGGAGCTTATTTTCCAGTTAGGTCTTATTTTCAGGGAAATACAGTACTAAATGCATCCGTCAGGCTGACAATCTTAACTGGGGCTTATTTGGGGGGGTAGGGCCTATATTATGAGCATCATGAAAAAGCATGCTAGGGCTTATTTTCCAGCTGTGTCTTATTTTCGGGAAAACAGGGTAGAAAAATTAATCAAGTGTGCATTCCAGATTATATCAGCTTTAATGTTACTTATGCAGCATTTGTTTTTCCTTTGAAGGATAATCAAAAGTAGATCTCAGCAACGTAACTTTCAGCTGCTTGTGATAACCCACGATGAAGATTTTGTGGAGCTGTTGAGTCGATCCGAATATGTGGATAAATTCTATAGAATTAAGAAGAACCTTGACCAGTGTTCTGAGATTGTGAAATGTAGTGTCACAACTTTGGGATCATATGTTCACTAGAGCTTCCAAATGACTCTATTGTAAGATTCTTCCAAATAAAGACTCTTCTTTGGATTTAAAAAAAAAACTGTTGAAGAAGTCCCCCACCCACCCACCCTAAATAAATGTATATGTAGTGTGTATGTGTGGAGAGATAAATGTTGACAAGTACCAAAAAAAATGCAGCGTTAAAATGTTGGGGTCAGCGGAGAGGAAGATAATTAAAAATGAAATTGCGCATGGAAATGTAGTGGTTGGTAAGATTTGATGTTGTATAGTTTTTAGGAAAAAGGTTCATCAGAATAAAGCATCTGGTAGCCAGCCATTCAGAAGTTTAAAAAGTTGCCACAATTCTACATCCTTAAGGGTTGCAGCAAAAGGAGATCTGGGCAAAAATGGAGAAACAGGGTCAAATTCAAGATTTAGGAGTAAAAATGAAGGAAAGTGAAGGGAACATGGCGAGGTGNCCCCCCTTCCTTTTGATTGTGAGCCGCCCTGAGTCCCCCCAGGGAAAAGGGCGGCATACAAATAAACACAAATTCAAAATTCAAATTCATTCCATTCAATTTCCATGGGTTTTTAATATACAGTGGATTTTTTAAAACATCATGCGCTGTCTGGAGTCACACATGTGTGAGTTGGGTGGCTTTACAAATGTGTTTAACAAATAAATAAGCTCTGCGTTCTTCTGCAGCTCAGTATTCCAGCTGATCCTCCCTTTTGCTCTGCTCTTTCAGGACATTAATGGGACCCCACGGGATGGATCGTCACATGCATTGCTTTGACTTCTACGACTGTGCCAATGGCTTAGGTGAGTGAGTGCGCAGGATTTGAAAACAGAACCGTAGAATTTCAATCCATTTGTTTTTGTTCATCGTTCTCCAGAGCCACAGTCAAGTCCTTTTAACTTTCCCTCTTCCCCTTTCCCTCTTTCTCTCATTTTGTTTGTCACACTTCTATCATGGGATGGTGGTTTTACTGATGCCCCATCAGGAGGGTTTCAAAAATGGCAAGGTGGTAGCCAAGACCATTTGATTAAAGCCCCACATCTTTTTTTAAATGTGTTTTGCAATACCAATAATAATAATAATTTATACGCCACCCAACTCCTAGGGACATGTAAAAGTAAGTCCCACTTCAAGGCAAACCGCACTCCCTTTAGCACTGATGATGTTACTTGGTTTGGTAATGAAATGTTTTCAACAAAACAACCAAGCTCAGAGATCACCAAAATCTCCACAATTGTCCTCTTCTTCCTCTTCTTCTCCTTCTTCTCCTTCTTCTTCTTCTTCTTCTTCTTCCTCCTCCTCCTCCTCCTCCTCTTCCTCTCCTCCTCCTCCACCTCCACCTCCTCCCTTCTCCTCCTCCTCTCCTCCTTCTCTTCCTTCTCTTCCTCTTCCTCCTCCCCTTTTCCCTTCTCATTTTTCCTCTTCCTCCTCCTCTCCTCCTCCTTCCTTCTTCCTTCCTCCTTCCCCCTATCCCTCCCCTCCCCCCTCCCCTTCTGTTTCTCCTCCACTCTGCAATCCCTACTCCCTTCCATCACCAATGGTGTTATCTAATTTGGCAATGAAACGTCTGCAAGAAACAAGCAAGTTCAGAGAGGACTCCGTGGACTCATTAGAGCCTCTCTTCTCCCCTTCCCTGTTTTTCTCAGAGCTGGCTAAATGGCAATGGCTAAAGGTCAGAAAAAGGAGAGTTGAGCCTAATTTTAGCCATGCTGAGGCTGGGGAGGGCTTGACGTAGCTATTCATAGCCCCGATAGTAGCCTCTAATTCTGTCCTTCTGCTTCTAGTCCCATAGAATAACTCATCAGCTCATCTTTTCTTCATTGCTTGTTAATCTGTGGAACGTTTTTCCCCAGAGCTTTGTCTAATAAGAGGTTAGCCCTGAGCAAGTGATGTTAAGCAGATGTGAATGAGTTACAGTGAATGAAGAACTGGGTCATGGATTATTCTGTTCTTCTGCATTCCAGCAGCCAGGCTCCGCAATTCCAATCTTCCCCCCTTACAAATCATGCTTCCGGATGCACAAGCTCAAGGCATAAGAAAAGATTTCTTTCACAGCTTCCAATAAAGCAGAACCAATGTATGATCCAGTATTCCCTTCCCATTAGATGTAATGCATTTAGGAAAGCAAAAATGAATAGCTGTAGGATGCCAGACAGGTATTTAATCATTCCGGTGCCCCCCCCCCCATACTTCCTTTCACATTCCCCTCATAAAAATAAAACATAGAATAATAGGGTTGGAAGGGACCTTGGAGGTCTTGTAGTCCAACCTCTGCTCAAGAAGGAGACCCCATACCAGTGGTGTGTTCTGACTGGTACGCCCCAGTACGGGAATACCGGGGGAAGCTGGAAGCAGCAGCCACTGTACCAGAATGGTGTTTTGTAGGGCCCACCCACCCACCTGCATTCCTTACCTGTATTTAAGCCAACTGGGCCATTTGTGCAATCGCACACAGCATATAGCACCTGTGCGACCTCCGCCGAGCAGCTGGAGCATCGCAGGCCAGTGGATGCACATGTGCGTATAGCGTATGTGCCTGAGCTGGACGCCCGGCCCCGTCGCAGCATACCTGTTGCGATGGGATCCAGAACCCGCCACTGCCCTATACCAGGGGTAGGCAACTTGAAACACTCAAAGAGCCACAAAGATCCTAACCAGAATCCACCTCCATTCAATTCTGGAGCTGACCGGAAGTCTGGTTTCCACACCATCATCCTTTTTCCTCTACCAGTCCTAACCGAAAGCCCTATCAATTTTGGAGCTGACCGGAAAACCCGTCCCTTGCCATAGAGTCTTCTCTTGGCATGCTCTGCTTCCCCCCCCAAAAGGAAGCGCCTCTCAAAATTGTGGTGCCGACTGGCAATAGGGAGCCACAGCAGAGGGATGAAAGAGCCACATGCGGCTCCGGAGCCGCAAGTTGCTCATCCTTATAGCATTCCATCCATTAACATTTTAATTGCGTTATATAGTATTGTAAAATACAAAATACCACATAAATAGGAAAGCAGGGGGTGAGGAAAAGAGGAAGGAGAAGTGAGGAAACATAAGAGAAAAGAAAAAGAAAAAGAAGCACTGACTTCCGTCTCTCTCTGTGACAGTAAAATAAGGCATTAATGCCAAATCACAACTTTTTGCTTTTCCATAATAATACGAACAAGTCATTTTCTATAAAGATCTATAGGTAAATTGGTAAAACCCAAAGTCAGAGTTTCATTCTTCTCCACATCAAGCATGAAGTTCAGAAGTGGTTTCCACGTGGAAACAAAAGCACATGTTCTTTTCTTTAACCAAAGAAGTCAATTTTTCCATTTTGGCCATTTCAGACCCTATAGAATTCTGGACAAATAACTGTCCAGCCTCTTCTTGAAAGCCTCCAGTGATGAAGCTCCCACAACTTCTGAAGGCAGCTTCTGTTCCATGGATTGATTGTTCTCACTGTCAGAAAATTCCTTCTTATTTCTAGGTTGAATCTCTCCTTGATCAGTTTCCATCCATTATTCCTTGTCTGGCCTTCAGGTGCCTTAGAAAATAGCTCAACGGAGGGAATCCCTTCTTAAACCCATCTTTCAGGGTTCAAACAACAACATGGAATCCAGGTGGAAACCCTAAAATATGGGAAAGCTTTCATTTATGTTCTATTAATTTCTGTTACATGGTTATTCAAAAGACTCTGAAATGAATTGTCTGTAAAGGGAATAAAATAGAAATATAGATGTGGAACATTAAAAAACTGGTATGTTTTAAAGGGGGCTATCTTAAGATAAACAATAACAACCAGAGCGCTTTTGCTACAGTGCTGATAGTTTTGAAGAACATTTAATGTAAGAGAAACCCAAATGAAATAGAATAAACGTTGTAATTAAAAATCAGCAGCTGAGAGAGAAATCACTATCACCAATAATATATTTCTCCTGAAAGTTAGTCATCAGTTTTCCTTATGAACCACACAGAAAGAAGCTTGACCAATTCTTTCTAAGGAAAATTGTCACTTTGTGTGTGTTTACCCAGCAATTTTACAAGAGCAATGAAAAAAGTGACTTATGACCATTTGTTGTGGCCCGCCAGCAGCCAGCACAGCTGATAGCAGATTCTGACAGTGAGGAGGTTGGGGAGGAAGATGGGCCAGTCCTGGAGTCTGGGGAAGGCTCTGATGAGGGCTCTGTGTCCGAGGCAGAGAGGGGACCAGGGCCACATGCCAGTTATCAGCTGCCTTCAGAGTCAGACATCAGTGGAGCAGAAGAACAGCTGAAGTCTGTTCTCAATGTGCGCATGCGCAGAGCTGCTAGACGAAGGGAACAGCTAAGGAGCAGGGGTCGACTTGGGAGTAAAGACACAGGTGGATGATGAATGGCCCCTCTTAGAGAAAATAAAAGAGGAGCGAGAGGGGAGGGGAGTTTGCAGGAGACAATGAGTTCATTCCTGTATTCTTGCCAAGTATTGCAGCGCGTGAAAGATATCGGCCTGGCCACTCTCCAAGCCCAATAAAGGTCGGTGATTGTGAACTATCTCGAAAGTCTGTGGGAGAGGAAAGGCTTTGCTGAAGAAGAATTCACTGTAAATTAAATAAAAGGGGTTTATTGGGATGAGGACTCAGCTTCGTGCTGCTGGGGAAGCCTAGGTCAGAACACCATTTTTCTCATGTATGACATTGTAACATCTCCATGGGCACATTATCAAAATTCAGACATTGGCAACTGGCTCATATTTATGATGGTTGCAGTGTCCTGGGGTCCTGTCCATCCCCTTTTGTGACCTGCTGATGAGCAAAATCACTGGGGAAGCCAAATTCACTTCACAACCATGTTACTGTCTCAGCAAGCAGAGCAATTCGCTCAACAACTCTGACGAGGAACGTTGTCAAATGGGGGCAAAACTCACCGAACAGCTGTCTCATTGATGGCACAGAAAGCTTGGTCTCCATTGTGGTCGTGAGTCTACCTGTGTGAGCCAAACAATCGCCTTCCCGCCTCTTGTGTTTGTTTGCTTGAGGACGTGTGTTTACCGATCAGAGATGGCCTCCTGCCACACCTTCTGATAGGATTATGTAAATAAAAAGAGGAAGAGTACGAGAGATTTCTCTCACTTTGCAGA